CGATGTCCGCCCCCTCCCCGCGCAGCGCCGGCCTGGCCCTCCTGGTGGGCCTGCTTGCCCTGCTGGGCATGCTCACCCTGGCCCCGCGGCCGACCAGTGCCCTGCACTTCTACCTGGAGCAGTCGACTCCCCGGTGCTTCCTGGAGGATCTCCCCGGGCAAACCCTGGTCCTCGGTACGCGCATGCTGCCCCCCCCCCCTCTCGCCCTGTCCGCATGCTCCTCCGCCGCCGCCGCCGCCGCCGCCGCCGCCGGAAAGCCACCACTCACCGACCGTCGGCCCTACCCCGCCAGGCGATGCCGAGCTCCGCGTCTACGAGGGGACCCGGCTCCTGGAGAACCACGACTTTAATGCCGCCCTCGAGGTCAAGGTTCGTGCTGCCTTCTTGGCCCCTCCCATGCATGCGCGCTCCGCCTTACACTCGCACTCACCCGCCCGACTTGCACGCACGCACGCACGCAGGAGAAGTTCTCCGGGCACACGATCTACTCCTCGAACCTGGGCTCCCGCGGCACCTTCGCCTTCACCACTGTCGAGCCTGGCGAGCATCTGATTTGCTTCCGCTCGTCCTATGCCAGCTGGCGCTCGAATGCCCGCAGCGTGCGTCCTCGCCCACCCTCCACCCCCGACCGGCCGCCCCCCCCCGCTGACCCCCATCCCACCCGGCCTCTCTCTCCCTCTCTCCTTCCGCGCGTCTGTAGCGTCTCGACTTCACCATGACCATCGGCGAAGCCACTCTCGAGGATGCCGATCCGAACAGCCAGCTGGTCAACTCCGGCGATGATGCTGCCATCGTCGACCGTGTCAACAGTACGTGCTCGAGCGCCCTGCCCCTCGAAAGAGAGGACACAACCGAGAAAAAAAACACCTTCCCCTGTTCGCGCCCACCCCCGCGGATTTCTGACCGCCCTGCCGTGCCTACACACACACACACACACACACACACGGTGTGCTCTTGTTCCATGCACAATCCCCATCCCCAGACCTCCGTGCCAGCCTTCGCCGCATGAACGTTCGCATCGCCGACATTCGCCGTGCCCAGTCCTACCAGCGTGTACGTTCCTTGCCCAGTGACCCACCTCCGCACGGTGCACCTGGCCCCCTCCCCGCCCCCCTTCCTCCCTCACACACACACACACACACACACACACAGGTTCAGGAGGCCAGCTTCCGCGATGCCTCCGAGCGCGTCAACTCCCGCGTCGCCTGGTTCCTCATCGTCCAGATCGTGGTCTTCGTCGGTGTGGCCCTCTGGCAAATGGCCCACCTCCGGAGCTTCTTCACCACCCGCCGTGTTGTCTGAGGAGAGAGGGTGTCCACAAAAAGTAGGCCGGAATGGAGCCGGATGATCTCTCGCCCATGGTGGCACACCTGCGCATGCCACCATCCCGGGCCTGGTCCCACCGCTCGCTCCACGCATACATGCATACATTCACACACATCCCCATACACTCTCACTCTCTCACTCTCACACACACACACACACACATGCACGCCGTCCCATCCAAATGGCCAACAACACGAACAACAAACCAATGCCCCTAAATACACAAAATATGCTTGCACATTCACGCCCGGCCTTTCGGTGATGAGGTTCCCTCCCTGGGGATTGTCTTTTTTTTTGCCCCCCGCCACCTTCCCTGGCACTGTGTTCTCCAGGACAGAGAGGGGAACCAAACACGCGCCCGCACCGCGCACAAAGCACACATAAGGCTCCGCTGGCGTTTGTGCTGAGGGCAACCACACGCAGCTACTTCACGCCGCCGTGGCCTCGACGCCTTATAAGCCGGTCCGAATGATGTAGATGGTTATCATATCTGTCTAACACACAGAATGTCCCAGGTTCGAGTCCTGGTTCGGACAGTTATTTCTTTTTGGAACCGGGCCATCACCTGCAAAGTCGAATTTCCGTAACTCAGTTTAACTGAGCCCGAGACACATGCCGGCCCTCGGGGACGGGGGCGGCCGCCGATGGAGAGAGAGACATGCCCTGGGCGAGAGAACATCCACCGGCTGAGGTTGTTATCCTGGCCGCCGTGCTGTCACCGGGCCACTGTAATTGGTCCCTCCAGGATGGTCGTCTTCTGCCCCCCCCGCCCCCCTCCCTACGCTACGCTACTCTCGCTGGGTAATGACCGGAGCTGGGAGGCAGCACGGCGCGGAAGATGCCTCCGCGGACACCGATCCCCCCGCTCCACGGGCACTGCCCACAACTGGGCACGCGCGTCACCGCCGGCGAAACGAGGGGCCGCGAAGAAGGGCAGAGGGCGGACTCCAGGGTGAGGCGGAGAGGGGACCACACACACACACACACACACACACACACACACAGACCCCTCGCTCGGGAACACTCCACACAGGGGCAGCGGGAAAGACCGACGAGGCGCGCGCGCCCGCTCGGGCGACAGACGCAGCAACGCCATCCCCCCCGCCCCATGCCTCGTCATCCGGAAACGAGGAAACGGAGAAGATGGGCACAGTGCCGGCGGCAGGCGCGCGCCTCCTCCTCGCCGTGCGGCACGGCACACACACACACACACACACACCCGCTCTCCGCACCACACGCCGCGTCAAGCGGGCTCTCTCTGTGGACATTTGGAACTTGCCAGTTGTATTGATGAAGGGGAGACAAGGGCTGGGTTTTTGCCGCCAGTCGCCGAGAAGGAGGACAGGGGGGAGGAGGGCGGAGAGAGATAGAGAGAGAGGGGGAGAGAGAGGCGCAGGCGCGTGTGTATGTGCGCGCGCGGAGCGCCCCTCTCTCTGTCGCCTCGGACCCCCCGCCCGCGCGGACAACACGGCGGCTCTCTCGCGCCCCCGCCAACAAGAGGAGAGGAGCATCCTCCCTCCTCTTCCTGGTCTGCAGCAAACACACACGGAGAGGAGGGGAAGAAACACCGCCCCGCATCCCCCCGGACATGGCTGCTAGCAAACAAAAGGGTCGACGTCTGTGAGGAAAAGAGGTGCGGGTACATTCTGCGTGCGCTTAGGCGACGAGGATGCAGACACCACCGGCCTCCTTGATCTTCTTCTCAGCAAGCTCAGAGAAGAACTTGGCGCGGACGACGATGGGCTTCTTGGGCAGGTGACCCTTGCCGAGGACCTTGAAGTAGCCCTGTGTATCGAGAGGGGAGGGGAGGGGCGCGCGCGCGGGGAGAGAGACGCGGATGTCAGCACAATGATAGCCACATGGAGCGGAGAGATGCAGCGAAAGAGGGAGGAGGAGAGCGCGGAGCGCCGCATGAGGAGAGAGAGGCCAAAACACGGGGGGACCGCTTCTCCTCGCGTCGAAAGGCCGCCGCGCGCATGGCGACCTCCCCTCCTCCCGGACGCCTCAACTACCACACAACACACAGGCACACGGCGCAGCGCGCAAGCCAGCCAGCGAGAGCACGAAAGGGAGCCCCCCCTCGAAAAGAGCAGCACGGAAGGAGGGAACAGGAGGCCGCCGGACGGGGACCCTGTCTCCCCCCCCCCTGGTCACAGTGCATGCTCTCTTCGTGCGAGGGGGGCACACATATTCCGGCAGCGGCCGGGGCTCGGGGCCGGGCGCGCGCGCGCGTGTTGGCGCAGCAGCGAGGAGAGAGAGAGAGAGAGAGAGGGAGGGTCACGCGACGGGCCCGGACACGACGCGCGGCGAGGACGGCGGGGCGGTGCGTGGTCGGATGCGTGGCACATCCGACAGACATCGAGAGGGCGCGCGCGCGCGCAAAAGGCAAAAGCAATGACAGAAGCGAAGGAGGGGCCAGGGGGAGAGGGGTGGAACGCACGTTGGCAACGCAGTCAATGACGAGGGCATCCTTCTCAGTCTGGGCAGCGGCGGCCTCAGCGGGGACCAGAGACCACAGCTTGTCGACGTTGATGACGGGGGTGTAGTACTGCTGGTGGGTGCGGTTGAAGTAGCGCATACCAATCTTACCGAAGTAACCGGGATGGAACTTGTCGAAGTTGGTGCGGTGGTGGAGCATACCACCAGCGTTACCACGACCACCGGGGTTCTTGCGGTGCTTGCCGACACGACCCTTACCGTGAGAGACGTGACCGCGGAGCTTGCGAGTGTGCTTGAAGCGAGTGGTCTGGGGGCGGAGAGAGCGAGAGCGAGAGCGGGAGCGAGAGCGAGAGGGGGACGGGACGACAGTTAGGACGGGCATGGGGAGCGCGCGACGAGGGGGAGAAAGATGGAGAGGGATGGGACGCCTCGAGCGGAGGAGTCCCCGCGGCTGCTCTGGCCAGGGGGCGGGCGGGCGCGCGCGCTCAAGCGCGCATCCGGTCGAGCGATGAGCCACCCCTCCACGAAGAGAGGGGCGAGTCACGCGCGACGACGCGCGCGCACGCGCGCGCACACACACACACACACGGGCATGGCCCAGGCCACGAAGCAAGAAGGGCAGAGTACAGGGCCCGAAGCACGGGACACGGGCAACGGGCCGTGCATCACCCGGAGCAAAGGAGAGGGGCAGGAAGAAGGGGGGACGAGGACACGTCGGCAGGAGAGAGAGAGAGAGGGGGGGGGAGGGCGAGGCGAGGCGAGAGCGGGGAGGAGGAGGCGAGAAAAGGGGAGGAGGGAGAGGAGCAGGAGGGCGAACCATTGTTAATCCTCGTGTCCTTCCAAAGAGAGTTTCCAAAAGAGAACGAGGTTGAGAGAGAACCATCCCGGATGATGCCCCGGCCTGGGCCCCAGAAAAATGACCATCCTCCGCGCGCGTGGCCGACCGCGGGCGGCCACACCCACACCCGCGCCCACGCCCACATGCACCGCGGATGGCGGCCATCCCCTGCGCCCATCAGAACGTGGCGTGTACATGTAGCCCGTGTGTGGGCGGCGGCCTCGTGCCGCGCGCCGGCCCCGGACGCGCCGAGGCGGTGCTACCGATTCCAGCCAGGGCGGGACGGGGGCGACCTGTTGGCGTGGCCCCCGCCCGAAGGCGGGCCGTCCCCCCCCCCCC